ATACACTCTTTTTTTACTTTTTGAATATTTAAGTGTTAAACATTGTTAGTTACAAGTTGATACATCACTAGTTTGGTACCTATGTGTTGGCTTCTTAGATCTGTGTATCAATTTGTGGCTATTATAAAGAACCATGTACATGTTTATTCGTTCTTCTTATTATTTGTAATCTATCATTATAGAGGCATGAATAATTAAGACACATACTTTTTTTTAATGTATTTGTTAGTATATTAATCATGATACACTTCTAGTTAGAACTTGATATATTACGAGTTCGTCGCAATTGTGTTGATTTTTAGATTTGTGTATCAATGTGTGGTTATTATAAAGTAACAGGTACATGTTAATTTGTTCTTCTTATTTTCTGCAATGCATCATTATAGAGGCATAAGTAATTAAGACGCACATTGTTTTTAAAATATTTTTATTAATATATTAATCATGATACATTCTAGTTACTTTTTCACATATGTGTTGAATTTTAGATCTATGTATCAATTTATGGTTATTATAAAGTATCATGTACATATGCCAATTCATTCTTCTTATATTTTTGTAATGTATCATTATGGAGCCATGTGTAATTAAGTCACACTTTTTTTTTGTTTTTTGAGTGTGTTTATTAATATATTTGTCATAATACGTTGTTAGTTACAACTTGATACTTTACTAGTTTGTCGCATATGTGTTCAATTTTTTAGCTCTATGTATGAATGTGTGGTTATTTTAAAGTATCAGGTACATATTAATTCGTTCATCTTATTTTTCTTTGTAATGTATCATTATAGATGCATGAGTAATTAAGTCAAAAAGATAGAAAAGTTTATATAAGTCAGTTAATGTGTATCTGACACATAAGATTTGTTGTGAATAATAATGTGTTAGCCCCTAGGTGTATTTATGGTCTATTACGAATACCGTTAATAATGTGTTTTGAACTTTTTTTTTGAAAATAATACATGAAACAATGCTTCTTTTTAATGTACATGGTACACATAAAGCTATATATTAGTTTATTTTTTTGAAGATTGTTCTTGGAGATTGAAGACATCTGTTAGAAAAAATCAGATATATTTAAATTGAGGTACTTCAATCGTGAACATAAAAGAATCAATGCCGGATAAGAACGATTTGTCAGTTTTAAAATGCATTTTTGAAGAAATTTTCTTACCACAAAGATGTAAAAGGATGTTTGGACGACCAAGAAAAAGAAGAAAGAAAAATTCAAATGAAAAGCTAACCACAAACACAAAGTGTTGTGGACATTGTAAATAAGAAGGTCACAATCGAAGAATTTATACTTTTTTTTTCGAAATATAGTTGAGAAAGTTTTTATTTAGAATATTGTGAATAATTTTCGAATTGTAATAGTTCAATTTATAATTCTTCATTGTTACAAATATATACATTACAAAGTAATGTTAGCTTATTAATTTCTGATACAATAAATTGAAATGTTACAATTTTCAATTTTGTCTATATTTCTAATTGGTAATAATTTGTTCACACGGTAAAATTATATAAAATTTTAAGAATTTGATACAAGCTATTATGTTTCAAATAGATTATATATATAATGTATGACTTTATGTTTGATAATAATGTATCTGATATAGAGTGATCACAAAATTTTATGTGTAAATATGATAAAGCGTAGTTATTAATGTATCACAACAAAAAAGAATCAAGTTATAAAGATGATACATGTTTAAGATAAATATTGTAGTGATTATATATTAAATACGATTTTCGATATATTGAGCAATCTCAATACTAAAAGAATTTATATATATATATATATATATATATATATATGTATATATATATATATATAATTTATAGATGAAAAATAAGAACCATTGACAAATTAAAAAAAAGATACAGAAGAAATGAAAAAAAAAACGATGAAAAAAAAACAACAAACTTAAGATAATAAAACAATTTAAAATTAATTTTCTAGAGAGATAAACCTTTTATATTCAAATTAGGATGAAGTGATAAACATAGAGAAATTAATTGAAAAATTACAATAATAAAAAATGAGAGAGATTTGTGGAGTGAAATTAGGATGTGTTAAACATGGATATGAGAAGTGAGAATTATATATCCAGAAATTCTGTGTTGCACTCAAAATAAGGGATTTTGAAAAAAAAATTAAATAGTAGGGAATAATGAAAATTATGAAAACAAAAGATGTGTACATAGGTAATTTTTCCATAATTTTATTATTTCTATTCATAATTTTCTTAATTGTTATCTTCGTTGCTAATATATTTTAAATTAGTTTATACTTTTCAATGTTTAGATATATTATTTGATTTGGACTTGTAAACATTTATGAAGTTTTTGTTTTGTAGTCGAACGGAAGTCACAATTACATCAGGTCGGAAATTTTGACAATTTACTTTGCTAATATCTTAATTTGTATCCAAATAACTATAGCCTTGAATCTTATCAGACTGAATATATTGATATTTCAATAAAAATATTTTGTACTCATGTAAAATTAACCGCTCAATATGAAGATGGTTAGCTTAATACATGAAAATCAAATAAAATATGGTGATATTTTTAAAGCACTCCATTTCAGCACTTTTTTGTTTTACACATATACTAAAAAAGTGCTTTAAAAATATTTTGGCTTAAAAATACTTAAAATAAGTCAATCTAAATGGGCACTTAGTAGATTTGTCGCAAACTTACACCTAGAGGTAAATAAGTTAAATTACAGCTTAAAAAGGTAAAAGTATGACTCCTTCCATTTTCAATTTATTTGTTTGGTTTTGACTTAGCATGAAGTTGTAGAAAGTAAAGAAGACCTTTGTGTGGTCTTAAACTAAAGATAGGTAGAATTCCATAACATCCTTTAATCTTGTGGTCTTGTGGTCTTGAACATGTGAAAAGTTAGAACTAAAAAGAGTTGTCATAACATGAAAAATACAGTCTGTTTTAAATAGACTAACAAAGAAAGTAGGACAAACAAATTGAAATTCTGGGAGTATTAGAAATTTGCTTAGTAGAATTGTTGCAGAAAGAGCTTTTGCAGATTGATCTAGTGAGAACTTGAATCAGATTGTTTTAGAGAGATTGTTCATTTCATATTGTGCAATGCTCTTGCTGGTTATTGATTGCCGGAAGTTAAGGATCTAATTTAGATGGTATGAACTTTTCACTTTCTCCTTGAGTTTCACTGTGAGCTTTCGCGGCAGTTTGAGGACTGACTTTAATAGAAATTTTATATCACGATTTAAATTATAATGAATGGCGCTCACACTAATTCTTTAATGGGAGGACTAACTACTAACTCAACTTAACCCGTCATGAGTAGTTGTGAAAATCAAATTATGAAAGAAACAACTAAAAGCAATTTAAAATTTGTTTGAATTTTCATAAAATCAATCAATAATTAAAACATTGCAAAATTTAAGCACTTGAAACGGAAAGTGGAAGTACAAAACTTTAATTAGCCAATAATGAGGATGCAACCGCGAAAGCTAGACAACACAAGCTAATAGCTTAATGTATGTGCCTTAAGATATGGACAAGAAGATGTAGAAGAATCCATGACAACCTAAAAGTAGTTCATTCTTGAATTTGATGATCACACTTTCTTCAAGTCTCGCATCAATCGCCTGAATATGTCTTGCACTCTCTAAGAAAAAACAAGCGCAATATTAATAAAGACCATATTATACTTGTAGGATTACATATTTAGTTTCAAGCATACAAAATTATTATATAATTTTATTCTTTCTAGGCATAAATTTCTTAATTGTTATCTTCGGTGCTGATATATTTTAAATTAGTTTATGCTTTTCAATGTTTAGATATATTATTTGATTTGGACTTCTAAACATATATGAATTTTTTTTTATTTTGAAGTCGAACGGAAGTCACAGTTACACCAAGTCAAAAATTTTAACAATTTACTTTATAAATATCTTAATTTGTATCCAAATAACTATAGGCTTGAATTTTATCAGACTGAATATATTGATATTTCAATAAAAATACTTTATACTAATATAAAATTAACCGCGCAATTTGAAGATGGTTAGCTTAACACATGAAAATCAAATACAATATGATGGCTTTCTCTTCTAATGGCAGGGGTGAAGACTCCATTGCGACATTGAGTAAAGAATTTGAGGAAATCAAGGCACATCCTTCGTCATCTCAACCTATTTATATGCAATAGGTAGAAAAGGTTCCGCCTTTCTAGCCTCGAGTAGTAGACTTCACATTTAGTTAACATTTATAATTTACAACTTTCAAACCTGTGACCTAGGTAAAAGTAAAAATATATTTGATCTCTTTTTTAATTATTGTGTAATTTTAAGAAAATCGAAAAAACTAATTTATTGAAATTGAAATAGAAGAATCAATTTTATCTTAGTGTATTTTTGTTTATAAATTTGATAAACCAACATATTAGGTTTAATTATTTTTAATGAAATACCAAATCAATCCAACATATGATTTTACAAAGAATATACTGTTATAATTAATTCTATCGTTGTTATAGGTTTAATGTTATTATACAAAAATAAATAATATAAAAAATAATTACTTTTTGAAGAAAATCAGTTCATTATAAAAAAAAAATATCACCCTAAAAAAAATCACCGTCATAAAGAGAATTAAAAAAATAAAAATAACTTTAATTAAATGAGTTGATTAAAATAAATAAATAAATATGACATCTGATATGAACACGTGGAAGTAGTGTAATGTTTTTGTTCTTATATAAACACCAAAACAATTTCAGTTACTTCACTCTTCTGGCTCTTTCCGCCTAAGTGTGAAATGCACTGAGCTAAGCTACCTCTTCAATTTCTTCTACTCTCATTCTCACCGATTTAATCCACATTTTTCATACTTGTTGCTGAGGAGACGGAATTTCAGTATGGACGGAGGTGATACTTATCAAACAGTGAAAGACGATTCCGGCGACATCGCCAGCGGTGGTGAAACGGTCACCATCAACATCTGATGTGTCAGCGACTCTAAGTTATCTGTTCAAGTCAGCCTCGATTCCACCGTCGGATTATTCAAGTCCATCCTTTCCCAGCCGACTGATATCCCTGCTGAGGAGCAGAAAGTTATCTATAACGGCCGGATCTTAAAGGATGATCAAACCCTAAAAAGCTGTGGTAATAATTAATTACTCTTATCTAAATATTTTTGTGCTACTTTATTAGTAATGCTGAATTATCTGAGTTTACTTTTTATTACTCATGTATCTGATCAGTCAATCAAATGTACCTCAATTACGAACTTGTTAGGGTTTGTGATATTAATGTTGTAAACATTGTTCTTTATTTGGAGTTAAAAAATAATTATTTAAAAGAATATTTGTATGTTTTGTAACTTGTATGTTAAATAGAGGTGCATGTTAAATATCTGAAAGTTCAGATTTTTTTTGGGCTTTAACTACTGAATGTAGAGAACTGTACTTCGGTTGGCTTGGGATTGTATGCTAATGCATTTTCTTGTTCTGAGGAGTTATTTGAATTATTTGTTCATTGTGGAAAATAATGCATTGCGGACTGTTTTAACAAGAAAAAGAAATAATGCATATAGAAGTTGTTTCCTTAAATGGAGGAGAATCTGGTTTTGGAAAATAATTCGTTGGAACTATTAGCGGGTGTTCAGATTGTGGATATTCTTAGAATGTAGAAGTATCTTCTTTGACGGTTGTGAAGGAGATATCCTGCAATTGAAGGGTGTAGTAATTTTTGAAAGCCTACATTCGATTCATACGTACAATACTTGACGTCATGAGCTCATTCGCTCCATCTTGATAGGTAGGATTACGTTGACAAAATATTCCTTAATTTCTCGATTTAGAAGTGCAAATTTAACCTCTTTGTTTGTGTTCTTTCCAGAATAGATGGAAATAATCGATAAGTTGTGTGTTAATACATTAGGACCAAATTTTGATTCTAATAGATTTAAAGTCTTGCTTATTTGTTACAATATACTCCCTAATCTGGCATGTTTTGTCTTGGGATAAGAAATAGTTAAAGGTCAATAAGTAGAAAAAAGTAATATAGAGGAATGATGAAGTGGTATTGGGGTTTATTGGGCTTTTATTAGAGTATGAAGCTGTGTACGTGGATCTACAATAGCAGGGAATCTGCATATTTGTTGCAATTCAGTTTCCATTTTACTACGTAGATTTGATTTAGCATGTATTCTCTTGTCTTTAACATGATGCTACTTAATGCCAATTATGTTGATCTGATTCATGATTGGTTACTTATAACCACATAAAAATCTGGATTGAGCTTTGGAATCTTATACTATCAAGATGCATGGAGCTTCTATTTTATCTTCTCTCTTGTTGCATGTTATCAACTGTCAGAATAAGAATCACAGTAAATTTAATTTTAATATTTGTGGCGAGCAGGTCTGGAGGCAGACCACACAGTTCATCTTATTCGAGGTTCTGCCGCAGCTGCTTCTGCTAGTGCAACCAATGTTGTAAATCCAAATGCTAATCAGGATGCTCCCAGTGTTGCTGTTCCCACTACAGGGGGGCTGTTTCTCAGAGTTGGTGGAGGTCCACTCTTTTCTGGACTTGGAAGTAGAGGTGGTTCGTTTGGAGCTGGACTTCCAGATTTTGAGCAGGTCCAGCAACATGACTCCAATATGATGAGAGAGATATTGAATATGCCTCTAGTTCAGGATCTAGTGAATGACCCAGAAATCATCTGCAACTTTGTCGTGAACAGTCTTCAAATGCAAAAGTATGTGAATCTTAATCCCGAGCTCCCACACATATTCAATGACCCTGCTATATTTCTCCAGACATGGGAGGCTGCACGTAATGAACTCATGCATGAGACGATAAGAACTATTCAATGGTCATTGAGCCACACTGAATCGTCTCCTGAAGAATTTAACATGCTAAGGCACATGTATGAGAATGTCCAAGAGCCATTTCTGAATGCAACAAGCATGGCTGGAGATACAAGAAATGATTCAGGGACAAACCCATTCGTGGCTCTTTTGGGAGCCCAGGAACAAGGCAGAAACCGATCAACTAACCCTCCAGCTACTGGTTCTGACACAACTGCTAATCCTCTTGCTCCAAACTCGAACCCACTTTCGGATCCTTGGGCATCAGCTGACTGTAAGTTTCTAGCAAGTTTGTGGATCTAATTCTATTTGCTGCTAGACTTAACCTTGTTACTTCATCTCCTATGTTGTTCACCAGGGTCTTCTGCATATTAAAAGAAACTTTTTATCTCTTTCCTATTTCTCGTTCTGGAGATGCTTTCATGCATCTTCACTGCTTGGGTGCCATGAAGTCATCATACTCATGCAATTTGTGCTTAGACCTTGAACATTTGAACACCTGTTCTCTGTAGCTACTTTTTTTCTTTGTTTTTCTCTGGTAAAAATATTTCAAAGTTTAGCATAATTTTGTCAGGATATTTCTTAAAAACAATTTTATACTTTTAACTATATCAGCTAATGTCTTATGTATGTAGCATTCATTATCTTGCTTCCCCCCTTCCCCCTTTTTCAACTACTTTTGATAAGCGGGGTATTGTCTTTTTTCTCTATTTTGCAGTTGGAGGTGCCCAAATGAATACCGCTCCCATATCAAATGCTTCTAGGAATATTTGGGGATCCTCTCCTGGTGATTTGGATGACATAGCAGATTTGCAGCGAATGCTAGGTGGCATACCTGGCGCCTCTTTTGAAAATCAGTTAATAGGATACCCATCTCACAGATATTGCAGCACATAAACCAGGTATTTATTTATTTAATTTGTACTAAAGCTTACAAACAGTCATCAAGTTTAAGGTTTTATTCTTTTTTCTCCTGGTTTTCTTTTTTTGTTGTTTGTGATGGAGAATTTCTTGTCAAGCTTCTCATTTCTTGAGTATCTTGGTGGTTAGATAATGGGGCTCGACCCCAACTCTCATCCTGGGGATATGATGCCAAATCCTGAATTAATTCATCAATTGATGTCCTCTGAGAGGATGCAGGTAAAGAATTTTTGCATGATGTCTTTAAGTTTTGCTTGTTGGAATTGTAGAATGTGTAAGTGGTGCATGCAGTGTGGCAAATCTAAAAAATCGGGTATCACTCTCTTTTTGATACATAAAGGTTAATGATGACTTAGAACTCAATGAAGTAAAAGTTATGTTAGAAATATGTTTAGAGCTTGTTTGGATTGGCTCTGGGCTTTTAGCTTATAAGCCAAAAGTCATACTATTTTTGCCACACTACATGCACCACTTAATAGCACTTTTTTGTTTTACACATTTACTAAAAAAGTGCTTTAAAAATATTTTGGCTTAAAAATACTTAAAATAAGTCAATCCAAACGGGCACTTAGTAGATTTGTCGCAAACTTACACCTAGAGGTAAATAAGTTAAATTACAGCTTAAAAAGGTAAAAGTATGACTCCTTCAATTTTCAATTTATTTGTTTGGTTTTGACTTGGCATGAAGTTGTAGAAAGTAAAGAAGTCCTTTGTGTGGTCTTAAACTAAAGATAGGTAGAATTCCATAACATCCTTTAATCTTGTGGTCTTGTGGTCTTAAACATTTGAAAAGTTAGAACTAAAAGAGTTGTCATAACATGAAAAAGACATTCTTTTTTAAATAGACTAACAAAGAAAGTAGGATAAACAAATTAAAATTCAGGGAGTATTAGAAATTTGCTTAGTAGAATTGGTGCAGAAAGAGCTTTTGCTGATTGATCTAACTTGAATCAGATTGTTTTAGAGAGATTGTCAAAGATGCACCAAGAGGTCACAGGCTAATCAATTGAGTTTATAAATATAGTGTCTCTATGTGTTGAAAATGTAGATGCAGTCTTAGTGGCTTAGTATAACCATTCTCATTAGTGGTCGTACTGATTACTGAAATGGCACTAAATATTAATGCTGGGCATCTGTAAGGAAAAAGAATAAAAACATTTACTATAAAAAACAAAGGGGAAAATAGCAACAGAAAAAATCAAACAAAAAAATATTATCTATTTGTTATTCGTTTTTCTTATTGGACACCATTGAACTACTTTCAACCCTTACAATTACTTTTTTAGATTCATTTTCTTACTAATCTAAATAAGCTAAGCTCCGACAATGTTAATTTATCAAAAATAAACTTTACAGATTTTAGTGTCAAGTATGACATGATAGACACTGTCCTTCAGATTTTATTATGTCAATACAGAAATATACTTCAGATTTTATTATCTATGTGTCTACAGACTTTATTGTTCATTGAAATATTTTCATCATCATTTCATTAAATATTAGAATATTAATATGTCTATTTATTTCTCTTGAACATGATGTATGTTTTTATATCATATTACTGGTAAGTGTCACTGATTCATCAAACATGTTTTCTGGACACAATATAAGATATTCCGGATTGAACATTTTTCATCTATATAATTTAAAAGTCATTATCTTGCCCATTTGGAGGTACCAAGGGTGTAAAAAGAATCCTTTTGATATGTGTCGGGAAATAATTGTTTTTTTTAAAAAAAAAGGATTGTGTTTTATTCATATTCAACAAAAAGACGCGTGATTTTATCATATGTTTCTGGACATAGAGCATGATGTGTGCATAATTCTTCGGGTATATGCTTCTTTCATTCCTTTCTATTTTTTTACAATCACTCTTTTTCCTTTTAGGAATATCTTGTACAACAAGGGCTATTTCCTCACTTTGATCAGCCGCAATCAAACCAGTAAGTCTGGACATATATCTATGGATTTTCACTTGGCTGGAGAATCTCACACCTCATGATTCAGCTGATATGATGATATGCATCTCCTTGTCTCATTATTACTCATTGTTTCTTGTCCTACAAGTCACCAAAGGAAAAAGAAATATTACTTAGATTCATATTTCACTTGCCAAAAAATAGTCTAAGTCTTTCTAATTAGGTGGGATAAAAGATAAACTTGTGAGTGGCTCGAGATTTTTACTCTTATTATTTGGATCAATGGGGTAATTTTCTACCTTGCGTCTATCACTTCTGACAGTATCTTTTCCGCATGCAGAAAACAAGATCAGAACGAAGCTAACAAAACAGGTAATATTTCATTCTCTATATTTCCCAGTTTGATATCCTTGTAACTGTAAATATACCCTTAGGTTTGGAGGGAATGATCTCTTGATTTAGGAGCAAATAAATCCTCTTACAATATTTTCCAAATGTTACTTAAGTCTAGTATTTTAATGCAAAACTGGCCTATTAGGAGCAATACACTTAATATTTTTGTGATGCACATTATTTGTGATGTTTCATATAAATGGACAACTTCTTTGTATTGTTACATGGTATATGAAATTTGAGATTTTACAAGGGCGACACAACTAATTTGGATTTATACCTGTTAGGAGTTTATTTTTTTTGTTAAAAATATTGATTGAAATTTATAGGTTGAGAATGCGGGTTTGGTGGGGATATAGAAGACACAAATTCAGATAAAATATATAAATGTCAGAAATGAACTGTACAAAAGAGTGATATTAGTATGAAAATAACGAGATGAGATATAAATTTGTATCCGGAAAAGGTGGTTTATTGTGGGGATCTGTATAATACTATTTTACACTTATGAATAAGCTAAAGAAAGGTTGGATGATGAATGCTTATTTTAGATGATACTCTTTAATTGGTGAAATTAGCGAGAAAGCCAACTGAGGTTGGAACAGTTAGAACTATGACGAAGAACTCTCGTTTTAGCCTTTTATTTAGGTTAATTAGAAATAAAACAAACTACTTATAAAAAGTAGAAATTTGACAAACTATGTTCACTGCAAGTTATAATAGGATCAGTCGAATGAGATCACTAGATGAGATAGTGGTGCCCAAATGTAGAGAGTGGAAATATTTGCTCTCATATTTGAGGAGAATGATATGATTGATGAAGATGTTGCACAAGCTAAAAGAGGATTGTGGAAACGGATGAGTGCTAAGACAGTTGAGTTATACGTGAACGCTTAACAAAGTGAAACACAAGTTTTATGCAATGGCAGCGAGATCAGAGATGTTATATGGGAGTGATTGCGAGTAATGTAAATCCATGTGTATCCACAAGATAAATTTCCTAAAAATTGCGTGGATATATATTCAAACGGGGTCATTAAGATTAGAATTATCACATCTGACCCAAAAAAACACATGATAAGATGAGAGTGTGGCTTTCTATGTCTTATGTAGACCTCCACATGCATTGGTCAGTATGTGCGAAAACATGATGATTGAAGGTGATAAAAGAAGAGAGGGATAGAAAGTTGTATTTGAGAGACTTGTAGATCTCGACATCAATATGAATTTAATGTCAGATCATAATACAATAGAAGCAAAGAATCTATACATGAGTTACTCTTTTATCAGGTCAAATCTTTGGTAGGAATCTCTTTTTGTTGTTGGATACTTGTTTGTTCGACTAACGGGATTAAGAGAGTCTAGTTGTAGGCAAAAATATTAGTGTTTATTTTTTAGAGTTAGGGAATCTAATAATTGTGGGTGATTTTAACTCACATCAATTGTGGGTGACTTTAATAATTGCAGAATATCAGAACGGGGCAATGGAAGTGGCGAGGAACGTCGTTGATAGTACTCTAGAGAGGGCAAGTTTGCATGAATTCCCTGGATTAAATAATTGTTAGTTTATTCTCGTCTTTCTCATTCTCTCTCTATATATCTCGGGCTTAACTCGGATGCTTATATTCCTGTTGACATCTTATTGCAGTAGGCCCAGAGGAATTATATGTTATGCTGTTTCTCCAGGTCATTAGACTACATCGGATTCTTTGACAGTGAAGAAGCACTTATTGTCGTGGAGGAACTTGAAGAAGACAGTGGAGAGTAGTGTATGTATATTCTCTTTTTATGACTATATATATATAGAGAGAGAGAACCAGATGAAATTATTGATGTAGACAGAAGAAAAGGAGATTGGTGGAGGAACTAGTTCTTCAGTTCATTGTACATGCTATGTTAAATTGTTCATTATCATATGATTTTATTGCCTACTTTCCTGTAGCATTTTGTCTTTGCTTCGCTAGGTGGATTCAATTTGATCATAGAGTTTCCATGCGACGACTATGCTTCGAAAAAGGGTCAAAAATACCTCTAACCTACCCAAAAAACCTCACAAAAATTTTTATCTAAAAATACTGTCAATTACTCATTATTTTTGGTGCAAATATACTCCTCTTCCCCCCCCCCCTTTATTAAAAAATGTCTTTATAATATTAATAATGTTGTATCTAGAATTCAATAGTCCAAATCCTCAATTTTCCTATTAATCAAAAGTGATAAAAAAATTTACATAACCTTTTAATTCTTAGATTGTTATTAATATTAAATATTTCTTGTTTTAAAAATCTGGTTAATTTTGATTCTTATATTTCATAATTGTGGCCGGCAATTGCATTATTACAGTTGATATTTGGTTCCATAGGATTTCTAAGAAATTGTAGGTACTTGATGATACATAAGGAGGTGAACCTTCACTAATACTAATTAGTCTAATTAAGAATTGGAGGCACAAAATATCGAGCAAAATATCACTTAGCTTCTATAATATAGAGCTATGTATGTACTCTTGTTTTGTATCTCTAATTTTTGTTGTTGTGATTGAATAAGTTTAAACCTACTCTACATAAAACATCTCATCTCGCGCATTTGCCTCTCAAAACATTGTGTTCAAGTCCGTCCATAATAATTTTATTTGGACTTTGTTGGAACATTGTTACTTTTTGAATTGTATTATAAATATGATCAGCTGCCAAAATAGACACTTTATGAATTTTAAACATCAAAAGTGATTCTCTCTAAAAACATACATCAAAACGGACGTTTGCCCATTAAGAGCTAACTATAACTGTGATTCTTTGACACTGTCATTCCCATTAACCTCACTCACTTAATCCAAAATAATATATTACGTCAACTTTAAAAGAAGTCCGCGCCCTACAATTCTTTTTATATCTTTCTCAATTTTAAATGCCTTATGAAGTTTTTTCAATACATAAAATCATGACTGTTTTTTTCAATAATAAAAATATGAAAAAACTTGAGCATTTGTTTTCATAAAATAAAATTTTCTATTATTTGCTTGCAGCAGTAGTAATAAACTAACAATACTAATAGTAATACTAATAGTTATAGTAATTTTCAAAAAATAAATGTTGGGGTTCATTCAAATACGGGCGTACTCTATTATATTCTTTTAGGATAATTAAAACCAACTAAATAAGGCAAAACGACTTCGTTTTTTTTATGAGGATATGCTTTATCACCACAAAAAATAATCGCATTCACTATTTTTCTGAACTAATAAAACAAGAAAACCAGTAAATATACAAAGAACTTGAAGTGAACAGCATAATATGTTTTGTACCTTTGAAAGTGCACAACTCCAAAACTTATGGCCATAATTTCTTGGAGTCCTTAATGTTTTCATTTTGCAAAATACTCTTTGCTTTTACAAATATCTAGTCCAATTGAATATCTAGACTTTTCGAATTATTAAAATATAACTATTAAATTTAACAAATTAAACTATATATATAGTATAAAAAAGTAAAAGCTGAATGAGAAAATGTGGAGCAAATAATACATATTTATTATTGAAACGAATAAAACTTCACATGAGGAAGAAAAATATGTAGATTAAAGTAAAGAAATAATAAAAAGAAATTATAGTTCCCCTATTTTAAAGGTTGTGAATATTTTTTTGCATGGATTCGGAGTTAATAAGGATGATCAATATTAAAGATGATAGTTATAGCTCGTTCATTTATGAATGAACTGTCCATTTTGGTGTGTTATAAGAGCTTCTCTTGATGTTTAGGGTTCAAGAAATGTCAATTTTAATGCTGGACTTGCTACATGCATGCATGCTATCCTTAGAAAAATATGATAAGTTGTATTGTCAAATGATCAATGAGTGTGGATTGAGAATTTTTGTGGTCTAGTGATTAATAAATTAAATGGGTCGAGAATTATGATACTTTAATTTTAAAATACAATAAAAGTAAAAATAATAGGTTATTTTTCCCTAATAGTCCCTAATATTGATGGGGGGAAAAATACATGATATCATATTGTTGATGGAAGATAACAAATATCCTATAAAATTAATCAAGATAATCAAATACTACGATATAAAAACAATATACATTTTTCTAAATTGCAGGCTTTAGTCCGGATTGAAAATTAAAGGCCAATAGTTAAAAATGAGTTTTCAACTTTTAACCTAATCCAAGCCTCCTCTAACAATTTAGCGGCCATCAAAATTCTACTATGTTATTTTAATAATTATAATTGGTTTATGTAAATTGATTTTGGTCAGGGAGGTTATAGTAATCTTAAGAATTTACTGCATGTTTTAAATTAGTATTTAACTATTATTTTTAAGCACTATCCCGCTTATATTGTGCTAAAATTTTAAAATATTTACATTGATATATTTAGGATAAAGAAATCAATCCTTTAAAAAATCAGCAATTTAGGACAGCACATTAAATCCTTGAAAACAACAATTTAGGACAAGAAATAAATCCTATTAAAACTACATTTTAGGACAAATGTAAATCCTTAAAAAACAGCAATTTAGGACATGGCATGATTTATGAATCCTTAAAAGGAAACAATTTAGGACAAGAAATAAATCTTTAAAAGAACAATTTAATACAAGAAATAAATCCTTAAAAAAATTAGGACAAAAAATAAATCCTTAAAATATCA